TTTTCATTTTTTTTTGTTTCTCTGTCTGTTTGTCTGTTTGTACGGGCTAATTTCCGAAACTATAAGACCGATTTAAATGAAATTTTGCATGGTGGTACTTCTCGGTCAACACTATAGATACTTTTCATCTGGGAAAATTAAAGTGTGTCCGTGGGATAGTTAAAAAACTATAGTAACTTACACAGCTTAGTACACAACAACTCATGCACCTAATATAGTAGTACCTGTTAGTGCTTTTTACATTTTCTCTTATTTATTATTCTTTTCATATTGTACATAATATTAATTTAAGCATCAAATTATTCTTTCGACATATATACGTGCATATGATTTGGCAATTTATACGACAACTTATGCATCTAATTTAGTAAAATTTGGCATGCTGATACCTTATACGAGTAATACCGGTCAAACAACATGTTACTTTTATCCCGGAAAAATGAATGGTTCCTGTGGGATAGATCTGTTTGTGCTTTTCGTATATTTTTTATATGTTTTTTTAGTATAATTTAAAAAATAGCATAAATCTGACTAAGACTCTAAACGTACTTTTACTACTTTACTAGTAATGTTCATGTGCTAGTGTATAGGTTGCCTAAGGTTCACAGTCATTTACTAAAAGCCTTCACGTCGAGTGTTAAAACTCGGCCATTTGTGTGGCAAGTTGCATTCTACGTTAAAAACGAAAGACTTAAAACCCTTTTAAACACTGCCAAAAATAGTGTGATATTTTCTAAACATTTTTCGCTTTACATTTTTTTTAACTGCTATTGAACCATTACCTATCGCTTATTTTACAATTCAACATTATTTTAAACAAAAAAAAGGAATCATTTCAGTGTTAGTGGTGTAATTCTTCTTAAAGTTTACATGAGTCAAGTCCTTTTTTTTTAACGTTGGGAAATGCATTTACGCACGAGGTGTGGGACTCACCGGCGTAATAAAGCCAGTACTACCCACTAAAACCCAACAAAACCTTCCCCCGTCTTAATGGGGCGTCGCAGGATCGCTTACGCATTCAACTACGACGCCCCAACGACAGGTCTGCCGAAGCAGACCACCACAACCATGGGGTTGCTCCAAGGTCCACTCTGCTATCAGAGAAGTACCAGGAGCAACCCGCATGGTACACCGCCCACCGAAGAGGGCCACCTCCCACCGCCCACCGAAGTGGGCCACCTCCCTGTGCGTTTCTTGGCTTCGCGCCCGGCTGTATTGCCGGGCACTACTGAGCCCCCCGCTCCCCACCATGACAAGGTGAACGCACGTTGAGGGGGACATGAGTCAACTCCTTTTTTTTTTTAACGTTGGGAAATGCATTTACGCACGAGGTGTGGGACTCACCGGCAAAGCCAGTACTACCCACTAAAACCCAACAAAGCCTTCCCCCGTCTTAATGGGGCGTCGCAGGATCGCTTACGCATTCAACTACGACGCCCCGACGGCAGGTCTGCCAAAGCAGACCACAACAACCACGGGGTTGCTCCAAGGTCCACTCTGCTATCAGAGAAGTACCAGGAGCAACTCGCATGGTACACCGCCCTCCGAAGAGGGCCACCTCCCACCGCCCACCGAAGTGGGCCACCTCCCTGTGCGTTTCTTGGCTTCGCGCCCGGTTGGGTTGCCGGGCACTACTGAGCCCCCCCACCACGACAAGGTGAACGCACGTTGGGGGGTCAACTCCTGAGGTATAATATTGCAACCTATACCTGGTGTATCTATTTAATCATCAATTGTCCGAGATTCTGCATGGCACGCCATGACCTCGAAGCACTAAATTTAGACAACTTACACACAATCGTAGCAAACAAACAACACAGAATGCCAAAAATATACATTTTTTGGCATTCTGTTCTTTTAGAACTAAAATAGCTAACAAAAGAACATAGCACTAAGACTTAAAAAAAAGTGCTATACCCAGAATGTACATTAGTATAAAGTATGAAAATTTGTAAATAAAATGTATTGTACAGAAAAATTTAGTATAAGAGTAAAATGTAAAAATAGATTTAAGTGAAGTAATAGTAATAAGAAATAGAATAAGAAACACTAGTAATAAATAAATAAGACAAAACAAAAGAAAATGTAATAAGAACTGCATAAATAAGTACAAATAGAATATAAGACTAAATGTACTGCTCCCTCTAAAAAACTAATGTAATCGTATGTAACAAAATTTGTAAATAAGGACTCCGACACCCATATCGGAGGTGTGCCAGCAATCCCGGGGGAGAAGCCAACTCCTACCGGGCGCGTCCCCAGGTGGCGGATAGGGGAATGCCACCCGCTTAGGGCGGCGGGTGGTACCGGAGAAATCCGGCGCGGACCAAATGGCTTGGGTGGGGCCGCTCGTCTAGGACTCGAGCCGAAGACGTTGCGGCCACCGGTGGTGGGACCGCTTGGTCCCACAACCGGATGATGGGTGCCGGTTGCGGGACTGTGGTCGCAGGCCCGCATCCGGCGGAGGAGTAGGCCGCGGCGGGAGAGGAGTGCCGGTATTTCGGTGCGCCGTTCTCCCTACCTTCCGCGGCCTAGACGGGGCCGCCACCGTTTGATGGCGGACGCGGTGGGGCTGCAGGGGAAGAGGAGTGTCGGTGTTTCGTTGCCGCTCTCCCTGTCCTCTGCAGCCGATTGGAGGTGGCCCACTTCGGTGGGCGGTGGTTAGGTTTAATGGGGCTGCTCCGGGTACCTCTCTGGCGTAGCAGAGTTGACTGTGGAGCAGCCCCATTGGTTTGGTGGTCTGCCTAGCGCTTAGGCAGACCTGCCGCCGGGGCGCCGTAGTAGTTATGCGCAAGCGATCCTGCGGCGTCCCATTAAGGCGGAGGGGAGGGGAATGTCGGATTTTAGTGGGTAGTACCGGCTCTTCTAGCCGGTGAGCGCCACATCACCACTTGGGGGATCAGGTGGTATGCGTAAATGCATTTCCCGACATTAAAAAAAAAAAAAAAAAGGTGTGCCAGCAATAAAAATAAAACTTATACCTGGTAGCCTATTCTTTGAAAAAAAAGAATCAATTATATCTCAAATAATAAATTAAAAGGTGTCGTAAAACATACGCGCAAAATATACATGAATTGAGTATCTCCTCCTTTTTGAAGTCGGTCATAAAACATTTTGTAATAACAGTGGAATTTTTGTTTGTATCATTTAATATTATTGTACGATCCTCAATTTTCCTGTGACTATTGAGAAAAACATTAATATAATAAAATATGTATATTATTGACTTAATTAATCTCCTATAGAATCTCTTATTGAATTAATAATTTTCTTTAGCTATAAGTTTATCATGTAAATAAAATAAAGATTCGTTCGTATCATAAAAATTAGTTAGAATCATAAAAAAAAGATTTTTTTTTCAAGACTCACTAAGCAGGTATGATTATAATAATAAGTAACTATCTCTTTGTTCGGTTACCTGGTTAAATGGCCAAAAAATAAACTCTTCGGTATTGCATAATAGTTTTATATAGGTACTAGCTAATCTCAGAGATAAGATATTTTCCCGCAGCAAAAAGTATTCTATATGTTGACCCGGATAACCAGCTACCATCCATATCAAATTTCATCAAACTCCCGCCAGAGGTTTTTCCGTGATGCGGTAACAGACAGACAGATAGACAAAAATTCTAAAAACTATAGATTCGGCCTCTGTATAATTATAATAATGTCTATTTCAATAATATTTTCCAAAAAATATTTAATAAACAGATACGACTCAGAAATTTATTATATGTATAGATAGTTCTATATAGGTATTAGTAACATTTTGTTGGAAATGATTTTTGAACAAAAATATATTTTGTAAATTTTTGCTCTTCCATTTACATTTAAAAGATTTTTTGTTTTATTTTGTAAATAAGTTAGTAGTAAAATGTATTCTATATGTTGACTCGATAATCAACATACTAAATTTCTTTAAAATCTGTTTAGTGGTTTTTTCGTAATGCGATAACAGACAGACAAAAATTATGAAACTATTCATATGGCCTCTATATAGTGACTATTGAAGAAAAATTTTCCTAATAATATTTAATAGATGACAAGTTACTTGAATATTTTAAATCTTTGAAACGAAATATCATGTAGAAATTGTAGAATTACAGTAAAATAAAAATACAATTCTATTGTTATTCAAGTCACTTACAATTGGAGCTTGGCAAAAGACCTTCAGGCCACTCACGACCAAGTCCAATCAGTTGACAACTAGACATTTACGTAAGTACCGTAGGCGTATTAAAATACCGTGCTTTTGAAACCCCGCTGAGCTGCCAACTGCACTTGTGTAGGTGTTTTGTATCTTTTAGTGGCAGTTTTAGTACTTTTTGCTTGTAGCATCATATATATTTTTTTGTTTTTTTTTTTGTATGTTTATTACATTTGACCATATTTTTTTACCCTTAATTTTTTAACATAACAAAGTTTACTGCGTATTACTGTCTTTACTATATATTTAATTCGCTTCAAAAATAATTGCCATAATTAAAAACAAATATAAAAGCTTCCTTTAAAATGAGAAGAAGTTAAATAATTCATTAAAAGAAATATTAGATTTCTTAAGATTAGTATTCTCTAGAAATTATTTAGCGAAGGTTTGTAATGAACTTTTAATCCTTTATTAAGGCAGGGATTAGCTCTATTGCTTAAACCCAAATGAAATATTAATCAAACTCTAATAATTCAATTGCTGTTTCACTCTAACTGTAACAGATATATTTATTTATTTAACAAAAAATGTAAGTATTTAAACTTTTTAAATTTATTGAAAACAATAAAATTAATCAAAAACGAAGAATTTTTGAATTATTATATTTTTTTATAAAAAAGTAAAATAATTTTTGCCTAGAATCGAATTGCAAACGTTCGAATCCTTTTGACTACTAGTCTATATTGTTTCTTTAACCCTTATTCCGCTAATATAAAAACTGAAATCTGAGCGCACCCCTCAGTGCCGCGTTCGATACCGAGTTGCTAGCTCATTACTCTTCATAAAATTTAATATGCGGGATTCATTTGTATTAATTATCTCTCTGTTGGTAATCACTGTGGGATGTGCGAATCTAGACAAGGATGGCTTCAATTTATATAAAGGTTATTCGAGCTTTTTAACCTAGTTAGCGTTAATCGACGTCTAGCTGTCGGTTATTTTAATTTTTTATTCGACTTTTAATATAGCTTTTCGTTTAGTGGTGTAGGTTTTTCAAATAGGTATTAGTAAATTTTATGATGTTTTTACTGATATTATATATACAAAATCGTTTTATAATTTGCAAAAATAGCAGGAAAAAGAAATAAATAAATACCTCCTACTTTTAAAATCGGTCAAATATTAGGTCACTTCACGTAATTACTGTAGAAACTATATAGATAACAGCAGGTGCTTGTAAAATTCAAACAGGCTTAACTAAAATAAAAGCAAGTGAAGTATTATATAGTTCTATCAAAATCGGTTTAGCTAATGCAAATACAGCCCTAAGAAATAAAATATCTAATGTTTTAAATATTTGTTAAAGGTTTTTAAATATACCTATGTGTTAATAAGATTAATAAAAACAAATTATTTTGAAATCAAACAAAACCCTTTTACTTTATTAATTATAAGACAACAAGGGGTATCGGGATTAATTGCTATAATGATTTTTGCTTTTGTTTTAAATTGATACGTTTTGTGATCAGTTAAATACTTAAAAATTTGGTATTTATGGTTATTTATTATTTTATATTACTTTCATTTTTTTTTGCTATTCATAATATTTTACTTCGAATTCGTTTTAGTTTTGTGTATAATAAACAATATAATATATTATTTATTCACATTTATACTTCAAAAAATAGAACCATATTTTTGTTGAATTATAATACTGGAAATTTTTAAAACTTTTAAAATTTAACTTTTAAAATTCGTATTTTTGTATAAATTCATATGAACAGTAATAACGCTATGTATAGAAAACTGTGTATAGAGAATAATGATTGAATAGTATTTGAAAAGAATTGGAACAAATGAATACTTTTCTCAATTGCAGATCATTTACGAGCGCGTTCTGATGAACCTCTGGAGTTTGACCCAGAAATTGGAAACCGAATGCTCTGTCAGTATGATTTATGTCACATAGTTTTTTTGAACACTGTTTTCTGTGAAATGTTGCATTGTTCTCGCATTTAATTACCGTGTACTAGATTTTTTTTGTAAAAGACAAGCCTCTTTCGATATTTGTAGTACTAGACAATTAATATTACAATCTTATTATAATATAAATGCAAAAGTTTGAATGGATGGATGTTTGTTACTCAATCACGCCAAAACGGCAGAACGGATGTGGATGAAATTTGGCACAGAGATAGATTATAGTCTGGTTATATTTTTATTCCGGAAAAATGTATGGTTCCCGTAGGATAGATTTGTTTTTATTTTTCACTAGCGGCTCACCTTCGTTTCGCTCGGGTTCGTCGCTAGTAGATAATAGAATCTTATATTTCTACTAGCGACTCACCCTCGCTCCGCTCGGGTTTGTCCCTACTTACGTTTTAACGTTTAGTATAGATTTCTCAAAAATAAGATATTTTCTTGCAGAAAAAGGAATCCTATATGTTGACCCGGATAACCAAGCTATCATCATACCAAATTTTATCAAAATCACTCCAGTGATTTTTCCGTGATGCGGTAACAGAAAGACAGACAAAAATTCAAAAAACTATAGATTCTGCCTCTGTAATGATAATAATGTCTATTTCAATAAGATTTCCCAAAAAATATTTAATGTACAGATTCGGCTTAGTAACAATTTTATTATATGTATAGATGTGTTATTAATAATAAACAACAGAAGATTTAGGCCGTTTTTAAGCTTAAATACTTTAGGGCCTAAATTAAAGTTCTGATTCAATTAATACCTTTTACGTCATGAGGTACTTTGTTTAAATTGCCATCCTGAAAATCTACTCGAAAATTCCACTGGTTAAAGTAAGGATTTATATAAATTATAACACTTTTAAAGTGAAATGATTTTAGTTGTTAAAACGAAAAAGTTTTTTAATCGGATTATTAAGTATTGTCGACACATCATAAAATACTTCTGTACTAGTATTATTGAGGAGCTCCTGAGGTGTTGATTTACGAAACTCTGTATAAAGCGATTCGATATTCGCAGGTTGCTCGTTCTTATTTGTCAAGATTTTATAGTAAATGCAAGCATACATTAAATTATGTACTTACTAAATAATTAACTAAAAAAAGTTAGCAATAAGTTATGTCTGATAGTCTGCGAGCGGAATGGTGAAGGCGGAAGGGGATAAAGGACTATTACAAATCCTAGATCAACAAACATTTTATTAGCATAAAATTAAAGAAAAACTTTGTTAACAAACATCAACAATAATTAATTTTGTTTTTAAACAAAGTTCATGCTTTTTGAAGATTTTATAGAGCTAATTCTTGAAGATACGCCTACGCGAGAGTTATCTGACAGTATATTTATAAGATGTAGTTAATAACCTGTGAAATAGTTTTATTATTCTATATTTTATTCTAACATCAAAGGTCTACTAGAAAAAAATGCTTATAAAGGCATCAATAAAAAAATAATGAATTAATTAATTTAATTTACAACTTACACGTTTTTTTTGCAGATTTTTATAGAGCACCCCTACGTTTTTATAAACACTATCTGCCTGTATTACCTCAAGAATATAGGAAACGCACGGCTAATATATTTAAAAGTATGTATAAAGGACTTTAATTGTCTAGAAAAAATTATGTTTTTGTTTTAATTTTAAATTCATATAAAATCAAAGTAAAAATAAATTATTATAATTATATAAAAAGTTTTTTCTTCGTTTTTACAATAAAAATGCTAATTAAATTAATTTATATTTTTTTATGTAGACTATGTGTGTAGAACGTTCTAAAGCTTTCTAGTTGTATTAAAAAAAATGACGATCCGTTTGGCTCAGTTCGTGGTGATCCTACTTGCTGTGCCAGTGGTTGCGGGTTCGAATCCCGCTGGACATTCATTTGTGTAATGAGCACGAATGTTTATACTCCAGTCATATGTTTGTATTTAAAATTGTATATGTATAGTGCTTCAACTATCTGGTATATAGCCTCGTAGCTTACCATGCTTACCACTAGATGGTGTTTTTTGTTAATGTCCCAAAAACATATTTATATTAAAAAAAAAAACTCTTTTCTAAGAGAGAAATATGAATTTTATTTCAATCACATGATATTTTACAGATCACATGTTGAATAAGGAGAATATGCTTACAGCCGAGAAGCGAACATCCAAAGCTGCTTTGTCACTCATGTTGCAGAGCAAGCAAGATATCGATCCTGAGTAAGATATGTCTTTATTATAAAATTTGTTTAGTATAGAACTAGCGCTTATATCGTGTGGTTTATTTAACTTTCATTTCTCCTCTAAATTGTAATATTAAATAGCCTTTAACTTTCTTTAATAAGTAGGCTACAAAATGTAAAAAGAATTTTTCAAATCCGTGTGATATTTACAGATTTTACTTCAAGTTTAAACCAACAAAAAATATACGTATTTACACGCAGTATTAGTGAAAGTCTACTTGAAAACGGTTATGATATTTTTCCTTTATTTTATTTTTTCTCTCTCTTTTCTTTTCCAAGATTAAAAGTTAAATGTTTAATTTTCGTCCAAAACTTCTATTCATTATTGATGATGTCGGTTCCAAATTGGACATAACAAACACTTTTATTCATTTTTTGGGTTCTTACTGTGGACTATTGTGAAACTTTTTAATTTATTTTTTAGTACCTATATACTAATAGAGTATGTATATACTTATATAAATATAATACTGATCTCTTTCTCATGGCCTCACAATTGTTTTGAAATTTAGCAAACATAAGTCATGAATAGGTATTTCTCCATGATTTGTGTTAGAGGTACTTTTTACCTTAGTCACCAAACGACTTTAATAACTATGGTAGTTCAAGATATCATTTAAGATTAGTTCATCATGTAAAGTAAAATTTGAAGTACAAATACGCGCAAAATGTAACACACTCGTAAAACGATTGCATAAGGTATAAAATAGGTATATACTCGTATATACATATTTACCAAAAAAATAAATAAAAAAACGTACATATTTTGTCAAAAATCCATCTGACCGCGGTCAGTAAAACGGTTTTTTCTAAAGTATCTTTATATTCTAATATTTACTACGTCATACCTGTAACATAGTAGACAGTTGTGGAAAATAAAATATTGAAAAATAAAACGTGAAATTATAACCATATTTAATGAACTATTTTTATTTTCAGAAAGGAGCATTACTGCCTCTACGGCAATTAATGATACAAATATAATAGGTATGTATTAAGCTAATAATATATTATATTTTCCTGTTAACTTAACAATATTGAAAAACAAAATTGATTGCGTGTTACATTATGCTCCTTTATACATGGTTATTTGCTGTTAGGCTAATTGGGCATTATTTTGTGCGAGGTGACTTGGGAGAGTATATGGACTGGAGAGGCTTCCTCTTCCCCCTTTGTTTAATATTTAGACATACGAGTATGGTATATACTCGTAGAGCATCGTGTTTTATTTTAATAAAAATATTTACCCTATACGAAATTCGAAACAGCAACTTACGAGGTAAAAGTTGTCTTTGGTCCATTTTCTCGTCTTCTTATAACTAATAATTTATGAATTCTGTATCTACAATTAAATTTTTCATTTAATTATAATAAAGATCATATTCATTGGTGCATCTGTTATCGTGTAACTGTCCCATAAATAATTAATAGATTTGGCCTTATTAGGTGGTACTGTGTAGTTTTTTTTAATACTGAAATACGCGGAACAACGTCTATTGGGTCAGGAAATAGTACCTAATATGTAATGTTATTTTTTTTAATTTCATTTTTTTATAAATGGCTTGTTTCAGGAAGCGACCTTCAGAAAATAATGAAATTAATCGTTTGTATTGCTCAGAATTCATGAAAGTTATAATTTGAGCCTTTTACGTGAAATGTCATATTTTTGGTAGTAGGTATTTGTAGTAAATAAAATGTTTTAAATAAAATATTTTTTTCAATATATAAATACTTGACGTTATTTATTTTCCCTTCCGTATATATATATATATATATATATGTATGTATATATATATGTATATATGTATATATATATATATGATTTTGCGCATGCTTAAATTAATTATTACCATTTAGTTTAACACTACTAAACATATTATTCGCCTTTCTCTACATGTACATATCGTCCGTAGGGCGTAATACAGATAGCTCACAATCCAAAGCTTTGTAACTCAACCGATCTATACAAAAACAAAATACCTAATTCAAATATTTTTTTAGCAGTTTTAAGTTTATCGTCCAGGTTATCTGGGAGACATCAGAATTAAGATTGATCTTTACCTACCTGCTGATAGGTACTAATGAAATGTAGAACGTTTACTGTGTATACATGTAATTTTCCCAAGAAAAAACCAATTATGTATTTATTATTTATACCTATAGGTATAAAGAATTTGAAAATTGAAATAGGGAAAGTAAGAAACAGAATATCGAAGTTTGAGAATTCTTAGGTTTTATTATTTGAAATATTTTAGAAATCTATACATCTATACATTTACATATAATAAAATTATAACTGAGCCGAATCTGTACATTAAATATTTTTTGGAAAATCTTATGAAATAAACATTATTAACGATATAGAGCCCGAATCTATAGTTTTTAGAATTTTTGTCTGTCTGTCTGTCTGTTACCGCATCCCAGAAAAACCACTGGAGGGATTTTGATGAAATTTGGTATGGTAATAGCTGGTTATCCTGGTCAACATATAGGATACTTTTTATCGCGGGAAAATATCTCATTTCTGAGAAAAAGTACAAAAACTGCAATGTTAGAGTATACTAATATGTATAACCTAAGCATTTGGTTTTTGGTCATCTGAACGCGGGTGGAGCCGCGGGCAATGCTAGTTTTAATATAAATTGCAGTTCAGTTTATATTGAAATTTTTATATTAATATATCAAAAATTCAAGCATTCTTGAAAATGAATTCATTTTTAAAAATAATATAAATCTCAATCTCAATACTAGAATACAGTATAAAAATAAAGTTGTTTTAAAAATCTGCATCTCAAATACCTTAGTTGACAAATTTTAATGAAACATAGTATAATGCTTGAATAAAAAATTACAATTTTCTTTTGTACAGTACTAAAATAAATATTTATTCACTGAAGGTATTGAAGACATTCTCTTTAAAGATAGAGTTCAAAATCTTTTGTGATCTAAAACAGATGAATAGAAAAATTATATGCGGTGGATACTTCAGTTCGTTATTATTGCGGATTCATTGAAGCAAGTTTCACCATCTGGTAAAGGTTCCGGCGGAAATTTCAATTCCACTTAAATCAAACACTGCGTTTATTCCTTTAAATTGTAAGAAGTGGACTGAAATAGTCTGGAATGTATACCCTAGCAGTTCTCTTTATACTGTACACTACATAAATTTACATAATCTAAGAATATCACTTTAAATTTTAAGTTTTAATATATTCTAATATTATAAAGAGGAAAAAAAGGCTCCGAAACTACAGAACCGATTTAGATGAAATTTGGTAAGAAGATAGTTTGAGACCCTGGGAAGGACACAGGATAGTTTTAATCCCAGAAATCATACCTTAAGGGGGTGAAAATGGGGGTGAAAATTTGTATGGGGAAGCAACCTAGGGACGTACCCAAACGAAGCGAGGGTGAGTCGCTAGTATACCTATACGAGTAAATAATTTACATATTTATTCAATAATATATCTACATATGAAAACGGCGACCAAAGATGAACTTAGTATTACAATATTCGCAGTATTGTATTGAGTATGACAATTTTTATGTATTATTAGATCCTTTTGATTGGCTCAGATTTGTAGTTTTTTAATTTAGAAGTAATAAGGGTGGTGTTCGAGCGCCTAATGATTTTTTAAAGCAACGTATTTTAAACTACTCACAGTTAACTTTAACTTTTATTATTTTTTGTTGTACCGTGTGGGTCATTAGTAAATGAATATACTTCTCATCAAGTTGTCCTGGTACGCGGTCTTATTTTTTCCTCCGTGTCCTGTTAAGTCCCGTACATGGTCCTTTATCGAGCGGATAGTGCTTATATGGATATTAATAAAAGTAATTGCAGATTATATATCCAAATCAGCGATTGTTAACGACGGAAATAATTAATTAACATGGACATAGAATTGGCCGGTACTGAGAAGTAATGGAAAGATCGAGTACACATTATTTTCAACGGTGTTAAGTTTTATTAGTATAATATCATCACCCAACACTCAAACAGGTTGTATTTAATTTTATAATAAGTTTATATAAAAGGTTAGTACATTTTTCCCTGTGTTAACTTTTATTATAACTCATGCGTAGGTACTCGTATGTGTTAGAAATAATTTGTTAGTTAGTGTTAGATATTATTACAAGTTAGTAATTATATTGTAAATTAATTTAATTAACCCGTAGTGTACTTAAAGTTATAATTTGTTAAAGTTATATAATTATATTTCTGTTATAAAAATAATTATTAAAAAAAATGAGGACAAAATAAAATAATAGTTTGTCATCATAGATTTATTTATTGTATTTACATATGAACATAATAAATTGCCTATTTGTATTATTATATACAAATTAAAATAAATTGTTAACTTATTACATAGCACGTAGGTACCTCAAAGTTTTGTATAGTTAAGTATTTTATTACTTTATAAACTTGAAATTGTTATTATATACATTCCAGGTTGACATCACACGTTTCCCAGTATGTCCGAGGAAAGGGAGTTGATAAAGAAACGAGGAAGTTTTAAGGGTCGCTTAACTGCATTTATTAATTATCTTGATGCATTAAGTGACAACAAATTAAATAGTTGTGATGTTACCGAGTTACAATTGCGCATGAGCAAGATCGAATCTTTATATGAACAATACGATGAGGTACAGTTGCGTTTAGAATGTGTGGTTGATGATATAAAAATACAGTTGTCTGAGCGTTCTGAATTCGAGTCATTATATTATAAAACCTTATCTAGGTCACAGGAATTATTAAAATTATATAATAAAGATAATGAATCGATTGCTAGTTCTAAAAGTACTCATGCCACTATTCATAAGCCTATTAAGTTACCTACTATACAGTTAACAAAATTTAGCGGTTCATATAGTAACTGGTTGGAGTTTCGTGACACCTTTACTAGTCTCATCCATAATAACGACGAGATTGACGATATAAATAAATTTCATTATTTGCGTGCTTCCCTGGAAGGATCTGCTGCTGCTGTAATTCATTCGATTGAATTCTCTGCCAATAACTACACTGTGGCTTGGGATTTAATATGCGATCGTTTTAATAATAAAAGGTTATTAGTGTAAAATCATGTATCAGCGTTATTTAACATTGAAGTTATCACTAAAGAGTCTTCTATAGCGTTAAAAGGTTTGATAGATCAATTAAATAAAAACTTGCGATCATTGGAATCCTTAGGCGAGCCTGTCAAACAATGGGACACCTTATTAATATATTTAGTTACTCGCAAGTTAGATCATAAATCTTATCGCGAATGGGAGGAGTTTAAAGGGCACATAGACAAAGATAGTAAGATTACTTTCGATGTCTTCCTTCAATTCATTCGCACACGCGCTGATTTAATTGAAACTTTGGAATTATCACGAAATAATGTTATTGTTACTAAATCACATTCTAAGGTAAAATCTATGGTAATGACACAAAGTTCTGGTAGTTTAAGCACTGAGTCTGTCACTAAACCTTGTCCAAATTGTAAAGGTGACCACAGTTTAAGCGGCTGTTCACATTTCCTTTCATTAAGTAATGAAGCTCGTTTTAAATTACTGCCTAATTATAAAGTGTGCTACAATTGTTTTCGTACGGGCCATTTTGCAAATACTTGTAGAAAACCAGGTTGCAAATTATGCAAGCGAAAGCATAACACATTAATCCATATTTCCGATATTAAAGGTAATCGTAATGACATAATTGATAACATAGCTTTGTCTCCGTCAACGTCCGCTGCGTCTTCGATCGCCGTTAAGACTGGCGGTGGCGCTAGCAACGTAGCTTTGTCTGCGAATATTTCATCTCCCCATAACGTCATTCATAAACAGCGCGATGTGTTACTGTCAACTGCTTTAGTTAAATTATATGATAAAAATAATCATGAGCATATTGTGCGTGCGATACTCGATAGTGGTAGTACATCGAGTTTTATGACGGAGCGACTGTGTAAAAAGCTTAAATTAACCACTAGTCAGATAGATAGGTCGATTCTTGGGATAAATAACGCGACTTCTCGCGTAGGTAACACTTGTCAAGTAAAAATGACGTCACTGAATAACCATTATAAGACAAAGTTATTTTGTTTTGTGTTGCCATTAATAACAAGTAGTATGCCCTGTTATGAATTAGATTTATCTGACATTAATATTCCTTCTCATATTTGTCTAGCTGACCCCACCTTTTACAAGCCCTCAGATATTGATATTTTGATTGGTGCGGATCTCTTTTGGGACTTGTTAGGCTCAAAGAGAATAAAGCTAGGTGCCGAGAGGCCTGTGTTATGTGAAACCAGGTTAGGCTGGATTGTTTCTGGCCCGATTACCTATAAGTCTGGTAAATTATTATCAAATAAAATTAGTTGTAATTTTACTCGAACTAGTCCTTGTAACGGTTCTGAATTAGATTTAATTCGTCAAGATTTAATGCGATTTTGGAATCTTGAAGAGATTCAGTCACAGTCCTCTGATTATTTACCAGAAGAAAGATTATGTGAGGATCATTTTATTAAAAATACAACACGCTTAGATGATGGTCGTTTTTGTGTTCGTATCCCGTTAAAGCAAAATACTTCTGTTTTAGGTAACTCATTTCATAGGGCTAAAAAATGTTTACTTTCC